ATAAGTTGAATTCCCTGTGACTTAACATAGAAATGTTTGCGAAGCTTAGGCTCAGTAAAGGGGGTAGGTATGGTACAATTATATTAAAATTAATATAAATTGCACCATACCTTCCCCCTTTTCTAAACCTAAACTACACAAACTTGGCATAAATTTGATTAAATCCGTCGTACAACTCAAGTACAATTCATAGCGGCACTAAGACATAATACACTTTGCATATTTAGTGGTATTCAAGTCAACATAAAAAAAAAACATTGATCTGACAGATTACTATTTTCCCTGAATTTTTGCAATCCTGTATTAAAAACACTAGGTGCATTTGGTAAACACTAAATGTGAATAGATGCACTGTACTTGAGATATAAAGAACTGTAGAATATAAATATAAGTACATACCCGCATAAAGTATACAAAACAGGATAGTCAGTTGATAAACAGAGTGGCCTAATATATTCTTCATCATTGTACGAGATATCAATGGTTTTGTACGTCCATACGGCTTACGTGTAAGTAAATCTTCAGTAGGCGGTTCAGTGGCCAATGCTAACGATGCAAAAGTGTCCATAATTAAATTAACCCATAACATCTGGACAGCTTTCAGAGGACTGTCCTGCAGAGTGGAAACAAAAACAATCGATAGGTGATTACAATTGGCTTTATATTGCTAAGTTCCCGACCCTCGGATATTCAATGTTTTGTTTTTGTTTAAGCATTGCTCACTCTAACATCGAGCATTGGCTTGAGTGGCAATGATCACATGTGTGTGTTTCAAATTTCAAGCAAACAAACAACTTCATGAAAGCAACAACAGGGTTACTTGAAAATCAAGGATGAATTTACAAGTGAAATTCAATGTGTATCGCATCTTGTTTATTAAACTTTATGCTGAATCAAATGATTTTCCAGAATCGGCAAAGGAGTCCACAGGTACGGAATAAAACATTTTACTTAGCACTGTTGTGTTCACTAAACACATGAACACGTTGTCTCTTACCTTAATTGTACAAGCACCAATAACCACCAATGTAACAGCTACAACATTGACCGTCAATTGAAACTGAAGAAACTTGGCAATACTATCGTAAACATTACGACCCCACATTACAGCTTTAACTATACTTGTAAAATTGTCATCCGTAAGAATAATATCAGATGCTTCTTTAGCTACATCAGTACCAGCAATGCCCTGTAAAATAAAATTGAGTAAAATCCATAAAATATTTGCCGATAACACGTTAAAGCAATTTATTAAAAAGCTCTTTCTGCGTAATAACATGTGGCTAACACACGTTTGACAGTGAAATGTCTTTAAAGCGCGGTGGTTGTCAGGCAGCGTGTGACGAATTTCATGTAAATGAACAATGTATTTTACACGCGTTGTATACGTCGCTATGAGTCCCATATCGAACAGGACGCGACACGACGACTGCCACCCTTTAAACTTTGCTAAATTAGTATTTGTCACTGGATGTTTGAAATCCAAAATAACAAACATATTTGAATGATGACTCTTAATTTCTATGTAATATTTCTAATCTAAATGTCTGTCAAAATAGGGTTTAACCAAAGACCTAGAGAATACAGAGACAGAAGCAAGCAGCAAAGGGAATAGAATGATGTTTCATACAGTGTCCTTTGGTGCATTGTATCCTATTGAGTAATCGTTTCGATGCGGGCAACAAATCCACAATCACCCTATGACACCTTTTCCAGTAGTTTATGTAACCAGTTTTTAAAAATATGCTGAATCCAATACATGTATGTTTACAACAGACTAGTTTAGATACCTCCATTTGTGTACTGTGTTGTACACCTATTATCAATGAGAAAAGATATTCTATTATAGTATACTTGCATTGTGTCACAAAGTAATGCAACCCATTTTGTAACCAGTTTTCAAAAACATGGTTTGTTAAAACCGTTCAAATCCTGTTACTATATGTCACACTGGTTATGACGTGTTATGTAGGCTTGTTTTCGTTTTTAAATCTGTCAGTTGAAAAACTAATTAATATTTTCATAGATTTTGTGCCTGTGTGATGTAACTTGAAGTGGAATATCCAAACAAAATCTTGCATGTCGAACATTCTAAATCACATTTGAATCCCAAAAGATGTTATGTCAAAGGAAAGACTGCAGTTGTCTGTCACTGTATTCTCTAGTGTCTTTGGTTTGTTATGTAGAAATCGCTGTGGCAGCTTGGGTACCCAATTTGATGGAACCTTTCACTCAGCAAAACGCTAAGAGATTGTAGTTCTTTGAAATTTTACAGATTTTGTTATTAGTTAGCCGAGTTAAGTCTATTTGTATCGATCAGACTAAAAAATTAATTGCACAAAGTAAATCATTATCTTACTTACCATGGCAAAGCCTACATCAGCTTTTTTCAATGCAGGGCCATCATTTGTACCATCACCAGTTACCGCTACAACTTCACGATTAGTGCTAATTTTACTATCTATAATACCCTTAACTAACGTGTGCTTATCAGTCGGCGACGACCTCGCTAGCACCCGTAATTTTGGCCAGATTTTGTCCAACAGCTCTTGTTGAATCTACAAACAAATCAATAATGTTTATCACAATAAACGATAGGTTTGACGATATTGTGAGAGTATTCCAGGTAAAAGCAACAAATGTTCACTCCTAAGAAGATAGGAAGTTGTGATAACGACACTTTTTACATCATTATGAGTAAACAAAAACTGATTCAAAATATTACTTACAATTCCATAGTTATCCCTGATTCGTCTATTAAACTCTTTTCCTTCTAAGACTAAGAAATCCTCTCCTGGTTTTAGAATGCCACACTTGGAGGCAATAGATCTAGCTGTGTTAACGTTATCACCTGTTACCATACGTACTGTGATACCAGCATTTTGACATTTTACAATGGCATCAGGAACCTGCAGACACAAAGCAGTCACACATGGTAAGCCATTGCTGTGTTTAGCACAGTTATTCCAAGGTTAAACAGAAATCCAGAATAACATGCATTGAGAGGCATTCAATAAAAACGTTAGTATCCACTTGCTGGCAGCACAACGTTCGGTCATGTGAGGAGTATATAAAGTAGTGCTGTCAACATGCAGGGATTATGAAACATACACGTCAGTAATATATAATTCATCATTTTAAATTTGATTTAATACATAGTGCCAGTGATGTATAATCATGGCCAAGTTTGAAACCTTCTCAAAGCACTACTGCATGCTATAATTTCAATGCCCCCAAAACCACAGTCGCATAGCATCAGCGGTAGACAAATATCAAAACATCTCAATGCATAGTAATCTTAATGAGCACATGTTGTTTAGTGTATTATTAAAGTCACCAATTAGACTGGCTGCAAAGTATGTGCAACAGCGAACGTTGATTAGCAAGATATGCAGAATACAAAAATAAATGCATAGCTGATTCATACTTTGCGTAATGTAAAATGCAATGAGACAGATTGCAGTTGAAACCTTCCAGGTTAGATAATATTATGAGTTTGGAAAGAAAATAGCAAGAATCATTCTATGTGAAAGAAAGGGAATAGAATTTTTTATATTTTTTTTTGGCATAGAAAAAGTGATGAACTACAGAACGTGCATTTTTCTATGATAAAAGATGTGCTAAAGGAAGGGTCATACCTGGTTTTTGTCGGGCTAATTGCTGGGTTTACTTACTGTACAAACCCTGCTTACATGGAAAGACTAGGTGCCTGTGGGTGGGCAGGGTGCACAACATGTGACATGCACGACTAATGGCCACCCTGGCTTCTCCTTAATCCATGCATGGATGTCACAGAGATTTGTCCAGGGATGTAGAGCTATATTTTCAGGAACACACAGTGATACCTTACAGATACCAGGATATAAATGTGGATTACAGAGAAATTGAATTTTTTTTTTTTTTAAAAAAAAGAGAGAGAATAAAGATATAACAAAAAGAAATAAAAATGATTGTCCAACAAAAAGAAGCTGAGGGAGAAATGCAACTGGTCAGTACAATGTACAGAAATGAAGAGAATGAAAACAGAAATGACAGCTTTGGTGATGTGATCACTCCGATGATCAGTGCAGCACGCTACATTGTCTGGAATTTTTTATCGGCAAAGCAAGCACTGACTTATAAGCTTTACAACTGTGCATTTTTCAACATAACTATTCCAAATAATAGATAAAATATTTAACTTTGAACAATATATGATTCAAAACTACGGCTATTTTCTCCTTCATACATGTACAATATAAAATATACCTCTGTTCTAACTGGATCTTCGATACCAACAATAGCTATACAAGTTAAATTTGTTACAATGTTAGACTCCTCGTCCCAGTCTGGTTCCTCCTTAAGAAAGTCTCGATAAGCTATACTCAACGTCCTCAGTCCATCACAAGCCATGGGTTCAATGACATTATGAATGATAGCTTCCCTATCAGTGTGAAGAAACGGTTGCGGCTGACCTTCAGCGTCCATTATTGATGAGCATCTGAAAGACAATTTTGAAAATAGGTTCAGGAACGTTTTCAATTGGTATATCTCCAGAAGACATAGTATTTGCATATTGCATTTTTAGTTGACAACTAGCTGCTAGTTTTCAATGACGGATGAAAAAATGATGACAAGCAGCCTCTCAGCTGAGATAGTGCCACTGTTAGCAGCAATTAAGAACTGAAAATGAACAATATGTATAGTATCAAAGCAACCGGACTTGCTGTTTTCAGCAAGAATTGGAAAGTATCACTTTTCACCAAAAATGACAAAAATAATCATCAAAATTAGACATTTGAAGATATCACTACGAAATGAATAAATCTGAGAGAGGTCCACATGTAGTACCTATATATGCAGTATCAAAGCAATCGGACTTACGGTTTTTAACAAGAAGTCTAAAATATCACTTTTTACCAAAAATATTCACCTGAGAGAGGTCTACCCAAGGTACATATACACCAAGTATCAACGCATTCAGGATTGTAGTTTTGAAGAAGAAGTAGATAAAGTAAAACATTGACACGGACGATGACAACGACGACAGACGCCGATGACGAACGCTGACGCACAATCACTCATATGATAAGCTAAGAAGCTCCGCTCGACAAAGTCAACAGCGGAGCTAAAAAAATAAAGATTGGATACTGCTTTTATACCTTTTAAGAATTATTTCTGAAGCACCTTTACTGAATAGTCTAAAACCACCATTTGGTAGAGGAATCACAGTGCTCATGGATTTACGTAGAGAGTTGAAGGTGTAGACATGGTGAAATTTTTCTTCAGTCCATTCATCTCGAATAGCATCATAATCTCCACCCAGCTCTTTAATTAATCCAAGCAATGAACACTCAGTTTTGTTACCGACTTGAGTTGGCATCTGTCCACTTTCTTTAGGGGGCTGTGTGAAACAAACAGATTTATTTCTTATTATTATTGAATAAGTCTTTCAGTTTGTGGTGGGTGAATCCTAAAAGCTGCAATAGTGTTTCAATAACCCAAGTAGCCTAACCTAATGTAAAATAACATATCTGTGAATTAATCCAGGACTTGTCTATACTTAAGTTGTTCTTAACGTGTTCCTGGATCTTCTTGTCAAACCATATAATTAACATATTCAGTTTCAAATTTCAATACAGTAGAGGTGAATGAAAGCAAACAATGGTGTTTTAATACCAAACTTAAACTGAACCATAAGCAAATATTGTAAAAAACTAATACTTTTGTTGTAATGATTTGAAGTGATTCAGGAAGATGAAAGCTGACAGTGATGAACGAATTTAAAAATTCCAAATGAAACAATCAAAGTCTTGTGACTCACTATCTAAATGAAATGTTCACTGAAACAAATGACTCACTGTCGTTAAAAATCCAAAATAATCCATTTACCGTGACAAAATTTTGCAATTTCCTGAAATTCCTTGACATACATTTTTCTCTTGTTGAATTAAACTAATTTAACTATCGGTTTTATTCAGTCAACCAAATATCTAAATATGTCTACACATATTAATATGCAGCAATAAATTTCTCAAATTCAGAAATAACCAGTAGAACTTACTATAACTTTGGAGGTGTAACTACTATTGATGGAGATTGCATGTAACATAATATCATAAATTTTAGAAGAGATGTCATTTCGCTCTGGAACAGTTTTAAAATGAGTGCCTCCGATGTAAGCTTGTACCACTGTCATTCTATTCGTTGTCAATGTTCCAGTCTTATCAGAACAAATAGCTGTAGCGTTTCCCATGGTCTCACAAGCATCTAAATGTCTCACTAAATTATTGTCTTTAGTCATTTTCTGCAAGATAAAAATAAATAACATGACAATGCCAAATTATAAGAGCAGATTTATAATGTGACAACGAATTTATGAAGAGCACAAAAAATCACAGCATTAGGTGTGCATCTTAGATTATACACATAGGTTTTCTACTATAATCGATGACAATGTAATAACATAACAAATTACTATTCAGTCAGAGTGTCATGAATGTATCCAACACATACAAAAAGTAAACACAAATTTGGCAAAGTTAACTACTCACTAAAGGTGCACTAATTCACTGCTTTCCAAACCAAATTGGATATCACCCAAATCAAAGCTGTTATTCTGGTATCATAGTTTAAATACAAGCAAGTGGTCCAACGAATTTATTTAGAATTACATTTACTTTAATAACAATTATTAACGACGACGACGACGAGGACAACGCCGGACAGACATTTTTCCTTCCCTTCCATCTTTGATGTTACAGGCAAGTTAAAAATTAAAGCAGAGAAAAATTAATACCTTTACAGTATTTAAGTATGTTGAACTATGGAAGGCTTTTTTAGTTGATGAAATCCACAATAATGAGTGTAATAATACTTACTGTTACAGAATAAGCTAAGGAGAGAGTTACAGCAAGGGGTAATCCTTCAGGTACTGCAACAACCAAGACTGTTACACCAATAATGAAATAATCAATTAAGTCAGTCCAGTAGGTGTTACTCCATGATTTATTTTCAATAGCAAATGTTTCAATACAAAAACCCAATACCAACACAAGTATTGTGAGAACTGCTATTGCTGAACCTATTAGAAACAAAAAAAGAAATATGTTAATAAAGTTTAATATATTTCTAGAAGATGGATCAAACACTTAGAATCAAACAACTATACATTTGTAGTACTCTGGAATAAGTCACTAAGCAGACAGAATGATAATCAACAGAGAGGATCAACCCTTTGAGGGCCCTCCAGAGGGCGCCATCTATTGAAATGCAATTTTGTCAAGCAAATCTTACCAGGGTTCTCGGCGAAAAGTCAATTTTGTCACCTTCTTGAGAGTTTTATTTCCCACAAGTGTGAATTGTGCATCATAATTTATATGGTCCTCATCACATGACTCATTTCAACAAAATGGTGACCTTAGTTTTCACATCACATTTTACGTGACATTAGTCTTGCGTTGGGTCATTTTACCCCATGGAATTGTGTCTAAAACAATATTATAGTAAGATTTGGCAATCTTTATGTGATTATATTTAAACAAAATAATTTAAAATCACAGCTATTGTCGCTTTAAAGACAAATTTCTCAGAAATAATGGTATTGCTGATTTTATTGATAACTAATAGTTTTTTTACATGTGACAATTAGTTCAGACGAACTTTCAGTGATTGTATATATTATGATTATTCCAATATATTTGGAGAATCTGCAAGCAGCTACCATGTACACTGATGGCATGTGTGATGCATTATAGTGCTTGATGAATACATAATGATTATGTAACACATTTACTGGAATGGATGGTAATTCATGTAACCATAGAGAAAGTGAAGACGACATCTGCTACCCCAATGCAGCCATCTCACCTGCATATCCAATCTGGATTGCGAGCTTTGTTAGCTTGAGTTGCAGGACTGATTGCTCTTTCTTAGGAACCGATGGCATCTTGAATTTCTTTTTTATTTCTTCCTCTTCATCTTCACTGAGTTCCTCATCTTTCTTGCCATCTGCTATCCCATCATTCATTGCACCATCTGCTTTACCATCCAGTACTTTACTACTGGCATCGCCATCAGTTTTCTTCATAGCTGAAGATAGATAATGATATCATTTATTTAAATATATATGAAATACTACCCCGCATAAGATATTAGCTTGTTCTTCCAAGAATTTTACCGCACACTCTTCTCAGTATGGTAGGCAAGCTTCTAGAAAACTATGAAAGTCACAATGCAGTTGGTAATAGCGCCCTCAATCTCTACTCAGAAGAGAGGATCTTACACGATAGCGCCCTCTAGCAAGTTACAGCATGGAGTGACACAGAACGCATCGAGTGACAGCATCTTTCTATGATGGTGACAAATGATTGATTTAACATTCCACGGCGTAGAACTAAACAATAACAACCATACAGTTGTAATTCTTACATTTGGAACATGACTGATTACATTTCATCGAATGTCAGAAGAAGTTGATTAATTCAAGGCAGGTTAAACCTGCACTGTCATCCAGTGTTCGAAATTAGCGTCGGTCCGTCGGCCTCATGCCGACAGTGGGTGTAAAGGGCCTAGAGCTGTGAAAAACCATCAGTCCTTGTGACCGACCATAAATTTATATTTTAAAAAAATGTTCCATTATTTAGTATGATTGTAAGACCAAATATATAATAAATATCTATAGTAACTCCAGAATTGTTTCAAAATTGCGTTTTCTTGCACGTTTGATCAACAAATGGCATCACTCATCGACCTGGGCATACGAGTCATAATTCAAGCTCGCCGAATGATCCTGAAATGCGCCGAACGTGGGAACTTTAACAAACGATCTGATTGGATGTAGGCCGATCAAGCCTCCGATTCAACCCAATAGAATTCGCGCATACATTTTATGTTCCGCCATCTTTGATTTGCATCGAACACACTGCAGAGTTACGTCTACATCGAAGTATGTGGCAATATTTAAACTGCCAGGAGCCTGCTAAACGTGTGAAAACCACACAAGAAAGGCGTGACAAACAGCAAGAATACAAACGGTCTAGGCGTAAACCACACACATTCCAAGTTAGCTGGCAGGCGGAGTTCAAAGACTGGTTACTTTTTGATAACAACAACAACAAGGTTTGATAACAAGGTGATGTATTGCTGGCCTTGTCGAGGATCGTGCAGCAGAATTGATCCTTGTAGAAGATGAGGCTGACGCCAATGATTGTGAGCATGATGCAAAATGCATGTCAGATTCAGAGTCGGCCAGTGATCATGACAGTGTTTTTTCTGAAGATTTTGATGAGTTCAGTGACGATGAAAGAAATGATGATGACGTCTTTGAGGCTGCAGATAATATATCTGATTGATTAGTAAATAAAGGTTTTGTATTATCCGTTTAGTCTTTGTTTGTTAAATATCAGGGCCTACAGTTAGCTAGCAGGACCTACAGTTTTAATTTGACATAGGTCCTTCGGGCCTGTTATGATTTTCGGTTAATTTCGAACACTGCTGTCATCAGAACTACCCATGTGTGCATTTTACCGTATATCGTATATATTTTACCCTATATACATGTATTGGTTGGTCTTTACTACGAGTACATCTCACACACACATGCTATGTGTTCTACACAGTTGAAAACAAACATTTTTCACAGCCATAGAATTTTATAATCGATAAATCTGACATGTACTCATTTGAATTTTATACATGTACCTGATTGGCTCTTAATGTCTAACAGTCATTCAGCCGACTGATCGCTATCACTGTGTAAGTATTCATTCAAGTCGTTCCTATGCACATGCGTATTTCTGACGACAAATTATGTCACTTTGAACTGCACCACAGATCAAGTTTGAATGTCATGCAATTCACACAGGAAATATGAAAAGTACGAGCTTGATATCCAACATGGGTTCCTTTGAGACATTTTAAAATCTAATTAGGTTCTAGCAGGAAATGTAAAATAACAAAGGTGTTTACTCTAGAAGGGTTCATAATTGATTTTTATGTTAGTGCTGTATGCAGACATCATCGTTTAGATCATATTTCAAATTATATATACACCTAGGACAACACCGGAAAATAACTATGATGATTTAAATGTTAAGTGTTCATAATTTTTCAAATTAAAGTCAACAAACTTTGATATAATCGAGAAGAAAATTACATATTAAAGATCTAAGAACCATCTTTAACAGTATACCTCATGATCGTGCAATTAAGAGTGTCTAACCCATGTGTAGAATGTGTTTGCTAACCAGAGAATGCTACCTGCAGTACTAGGAGGCGCTTTGCCCGCAGATGTAAAAGGAAAAAAAACAAAGAAACTTAAGGGCATGTTAGTCTCAAAGCGGAATATAATTGTGGGCAGGTCCCATATCACTGATGTAATTTAGGTATAATTAAAGTGAATAATTAGCTGCAAAGCCTCTTGAATACCAGTAGTAGAAAATGGCATCAAGTCAATCTGAATAGCAAGAAGATTGCTGTTTAATACTATACAATGAGTGACTATTGCTACACTTACTTATAAAGTGAACACATGGTTCATGTTTGTTTTAAATTCAAATTTATGACAATGTGAAAGCATAGGCCTGTATATTTCTTAGAGGGTGTCACTCAAATAAAAATAAGAGCAATATTAATTAAGGTTCGTCTTCAAGGAATATTTATAAATCGAGGTAGGGAGAGGAGGTCTAAAAATGTCCATTAAAATAGCACAATGAAAGACGCTAAACAGATTGATGTATTGGATATGAACATGATACTGAAAATGTAATGAATCTTTTCCTCCCAAAGAATGGCATTTGAAAAAAACAAAAATTTGCATTTAAATTGAATTTCACCTGGAGTGATGAGGGACAACAGAGGGAGTGAAGGAAGTTGGAGAAAGGACTGCAAGGACTAAGTCGAGTAGAGTGTGAATTTTTTGATATATGTTCATTGCAAAGACAGACACAGGCAGGCAAAATACAATCAACAAGTCAATTTAAAGAAATCAATCCGAAGTATTGCAACAGTAATTCACTTCACATGACAGATAACCCTTTATTGACATATCATATTGCTGGCAAAGTTGTCAAGACCTAAATACCAGCAATTGAGTTAAATTAGTTGCATACCAGCTACTGAATATTCCCCGACCTTCTTGAATGAGTTTCAGCATCTTTGTTTTCAAGACACGATGAAACAACATGAATCAGTGAAAGGAATGCAACAGAAGCGGCTACATACCCAATATTTAATCTATTGTAATAATTTACAAAGTACGTAGCTGACAGCAGATTTTAAAAGATTAAAATGTGCCCTAAGTAATTAATATGTGACATAAAATCTTGACATCATTCATCATTTTTCTGGTTTGTTTTTACTGAGTCAGAATTCAAAAATTATTTATTGCAAATATTCCTCATAAAAACGCGAAAGTATGGTTTTCATTAACAGTACTGCGTATCATTGTAATACATCCTTCTAATTATTTGTCTTTTATAAACAACAAGTCACTGTCAATGACATAGTCCCAGTTTGTATTATAGACAGAAGATATGTGATGTATGCATGATGTTTAAACTTGATTGGTTCAGGCATGTACAAGATATGGCCCCATGGCCATTCTGGATGGTCACAAAAATGCACATGCATTTGTCCAATAATGCCTGACGTGTGTGTGAAGTTTGAACTTGCTTGGTTCAAAGCATGACGAATATGTGGATCCAGAACTGCATTTTTTAATATAAAATGGCAACCAGTCGGCCATTTTAAGCCCAATCCAAAAATCATCTCATCATCACCATAGCCAAAGATAAGCTAAACAAGGTAAGTAATGATATCGCCAACACACACGGCATGACAGACAACTACATGTCCTTCCCATCATTACTATAGCCAAAGATAAGCTAAACAAGGTAAGCAACGATATCGCCAACACACACGGCATGACAGACAACTACATGTCCTTCCCATCATTACTATAGCCAAAGATAAGCTAAACAAGGTAAGTAACGATATCACCAACACACACGGCATGACAGACAACTACATGTCCTTCCCATCATTACTATAGCCAAAGATAAACTAAACAAGGTAAGTAACGATATCGCCAACACACATGACACGACAGACAACTACATGTCCTTCCCATCATTACTATAGCCAAAGATAAACTAAACAAGGTAAGTAATGATATCGCCAACACACATGACACGACAGACAACTACATGTCCTTCCCATCATTACTATAGCCAAAGATAAACTAAACAAGGTAAGTAATGATATCGCCAACACACACGGCATGACAGACAACTACATGTTCTTCCCATCATTACTATAGCCAAAGATAAGCTAAACAAGGTAAGTAACGATATCACCAACACACACGGCATGACAGACAACTACATGTCCTTCCCATCATCACCATAGCCAAAGATAAGCTAAACAAGGTAAGTAACGATATCGCCAACACACACGGCATGACAGACAACTACATGTCCTTCCCATCATTACTATAGCCAAAGTTAACCTAAACAAGGTAAGCAACGATATCGCCAACACACACGGCATGACAGACAACTACATGTCTTTCCCATCATTACTATAGCCAAAGATAACCTAAACAAGGTAAGCAACGATATCGCCAACACACACGGCATGACAGACAACTTCATGTCCCTCCCATCATTACTATAGCCAAAGGTAAGCTAAACAAGGTAAGTAACGATATTGCCAACACGCACGACATGACAGACAACTACATGTTCTTCCCATCATTACTATAGCCAAAGATAAGCTAAACAAGGTAAGTAACAATATCACCAACACACACGGCATGACAGACAACTACATGTCTTTCCCATCATTACTATAGCCAAAGATAAACTAAACAAGGTAAGTAACGATATCGCCAACACACACGACACGACAGACAACTACATGTCCTTCCCATCATTACTATAGCCAAAGATAAGCTAAACAAGGTAAGCAACGATATCGCCAACACACACGGCATGACAGACAACTACATGTCCTTCCCATCATTACTATAGCCAAAGATAAGCTAAACAAGGTAAGTAACGATATCACCAACACACACGGCATGACAGACAACTACATGTCCTTCCCATCATTACTATAGCCAAAGATAAGCTAAACAAGGTAAGTAACGATATCGCCAACACACACGACATGACAGACAACTACATGTCCTTCCCATCATTACTATAGCCAAAGATAACCTAAACAAGGTAAGCAACGATATCGCCAACACACACGGCATGACAGACAACTACCACTACATGTCCTTCCCATCATTACTATAGCCAAAGATAAACTAAACAAGGTAAGTAACGATATCACCAACACACACGGCATGACAGACAACTACATGTCCTTCCCATCATTACTATAGCCAAAGATAAACTAAACAAGGTAAGTAACGATATCACCAACACACACGGCATGACAGACAACTACATGTCCTTCCCATCATTACTATAGCCAAAGATAACCTAAACAAGGTAAGTAACGATATCGCCAACACACACTGCATGACAAACAACTACATGTCCTTCCCATCATCACCATAGCCAAAGATAAGCTAAACAAGGTAAGTAACGATATCGCCAACACACACGGCATGACAGACAACTGCATGTCCTTCCCATCATTACTATAGCCAAAGATAACCTAAACAAGGTAAGCAACGATATCGCCAACACACACGGCATGACAGACAACTACATGTCCTTCCCATCATTACTACATGTATAGCCAAAGATAACCTAAACAAGGTAAGCAACGATATCGCCAACACACACGGCATGACAGACAACTACATGTCCTTCCCATCATTACTATAGCCAAATATAAGCTAAACAAGGTAAGCAACGATATCGCCAACACACACGGCATGACAGACAACTACATGTCCTTCCCATCATCACCATAGCCAAAGATAAGCTAAACAAGGTAAGCAACGATATCGCCAACACACACGGCATGACAGACAACTGCATGTCCTTCCCATCATTACTATAGCCAAAGATAAGCTAAACAAGGTAAGTAACGATATCGCCAACACACACGGCATGACAGACAACTTCATGTCCTTCCCATCATTACTATAGCCAAAGATAAGCTAAACAAGGTAAGTAACGATATCACCAACACACACGGCATGACAGACAACTACATGTCTTTCCCATCATTACTATAGCCAAAGATAACCTAAACAAGGTAAGCAACGATATCGCCAACACACACGGCATGACAGACAACTACATGTTCTTCCCATCATTACTATAGCCAAAGATAAGCTAAACAAGGTAAGTAACGATATCGCCAACACACACGGCATGACAGACAACTACATGTCCCTCCCATCATTACTATAGCCAAATATAAGCTAAACAAGGTAAGTAACCATTTTGCAGCACAGCATGACCGACTATAACACGTTTCTATGCTTAAGTTGCATCTGATTGATTCTCACTTCACTGTCTTAAGAGCTTAGACTATTGATCCAAGTTTTAGTTAGGTCGGATTTGAATTCTTCAGCACAAAGCTTGACAAGTCATTGGGGAACATATCCTGCCAAGCAGAGTAGCTAACATCCCACATTCAATTACAACAAGATATTCTGATCTCATTTTTTAATTACCCTAAGCACAGTAAAAACTATAATATCTTTTATAATTCCTCCATTATAAGAAAATGCCACAACCATTAGATGGAACGACTGACATCATTACATGAATATCATGTGTGATTAAGATGAAACACTAGAAATAACAGTGGGTAAACTTGACTATTGCTCTTGGATTCAGCTGTGTAAAGGCGATGTTAATGATTTATTGTGTTTTTTAAATTGCAACATTAACTTTAGACAGGCATTAATCATGGTAATGTGGAACTGCCACAGTGCTTGGATTTTATAAAACCACCTCCGATCACATGCTGCTTCAGTCGTACCTTACATGGAGCATTTGTCACAAGTATGACCCGCATAACCGTTATGAATCAATATATAGTTTAATATAGCTGTAAAGATCGGCATTCTGGTTGACCTGGTCCATCGCTACATGTCTAGTACATGTCCTGGGTCGCTAATTCTCTTATAGACAACATCTTTTACCATGCCATGCATGCTTTATCAGTGCTTGAAATTCAGGCATGGCCATTGCCTTAGGGCCTTACATATCAATAAATATTCCCTTCAAATTTCAATGTATTGGCAATCAGCTCCCAGCTAAGATAGCTCTTATAATCGCACCATCCATTTACTTGTCTGTTTCTGTCTCTGGCTGTCTTTGTATGTACATAATAACTCTTCTGTGATTTTTTGCACTCTAGTTAGGTGGACAAATCTAAAACAACTCCTACCCCACGGCTGCCAGGCAAGAGCCAAAAAAACGACTTTTTTTATTCCCCACCTTCACACCAAATTTTTGGGTAAAAATATTGGACATATCTACTTTGCTTGAGTGGGTGTGTTAATACTCGCTTTTTTGGATATCTTTCTTTGTTGCAAAGAAATTTGACCTGGAAGTTGGAAAACATTTCTGTCAGAAATAGCGTTTAAACTTTTGTTAAAACTTGACAGGCAGATTATACCTACAGAGTACACCCAGTGTTGCCATGGCAATGCCCAGAAACATAATATTTCAGACATGTATCACTCTGCCCAAGAATTGCAGATTAGACGACACAGCTTTTTTCGTGCAGCCAATCAACATAATACTCAGTTTTGAGTCTCATCAATGACAACTCAGTGAGGCGTGGTGTATGTACACACATTCTAAGATGTGTTCGATATTCACATGTACTACACTGTTGTAAACAGAAACCTTGTGTTACAACAACAAAGATGTCTCTTCCAGCTATATTATGATAGTTCAATTTTCTGACAATCAATCAACGGTTTACACTTTTGAACACAAATTGATCGATGCTGTCCTTGTTATTGCCAATTTGATAGGTCAGCATTGCTTTTGGTGAAAAAACGACATGATTTCTCAGGAAATTAGTAATTTTTGAAAAATAAACTGAGCGTGGAAGATGCACTTTTTAACAGGTCATTGTTAAAACATAGTTACATTGTAACACTTTCACGATAGTCACAATAGGCATTGTACTCTTGAAGAGCCATCAGTAACTATGAAAATTTGAATAATTTTAATTTGAAATGTTTGAAAAGTGGAGCCTAAATTAGAATATTCACCATACTCGTTTTTCTGTGTATGATTTTAAACACAAAGTGTTGCTTCTCAGTCAATCATCCTGTCCTACCGTTACCGGGGTAACATAATCATTGTTTGCATCCCCCAGAGAACTGCCAGTTTGTTTATCATTTTTAAACATCCTTGAAATTGGATGCAGTAATTCAGAATACCCTCATTTCAAGTAGTACTGTGCATTATCTAAATATTATTTATTTCACATCAACTATTTATAAACTAAATTTTTTTTTCTAATAGTAAAGACAGAAAAATTGTTTGTTGTAATGTATTGTGTGCCAAATTGAATTAAAAATATGAATAGTTGTATTTTTCTGAGAGAACAGCGCAATGAACTGTTACCTTCATCAATGTCCTTGCTTTCAGCTTTCTTTAAATCATCTTTCTTCTTCTTCTTTTTCCTCTTCTGTGAAACAATTTGTTCATCAGTAGCACCCAATAGAGCAAATATAATACCATTTTGTGAGTTCAAGCCAACAGCCGTCACTACCATCTTACCACTTCCTTCCATCACATGTGTACCTGTAGAAATAACATCAATGGTCAT